TCGGAAACGGTTTTGTGGTTGGTTGTTTACCTTTTTACGAGGTAAGACGTTGCCAATCGGGAAAGCTGCGCACACTTCGGGGGCAGCAGGGACAGGCTGGGGACTGTGGCGAGGGGAGTGGCAGCCTTGGGCTCTGGGCCAGAAGCGGGTGGACTACTGTCACACGCACACGCGCGCGTGCACATGTGCACACATGCCCTGCAGCCTGCCCCCTTGTTGGGGATCTTCTGGGGCCTTCACTTTCCTCTGAGAGGAAAATGCAGTCTGGGGTTGTAGCCTGGGGTTAATTGGCGAGGAGCTGTGGCTCAGGGATGTCTGATGCAGGCCCTGGGTTGGGGCCGGTCCGGGTGGCGGGAGCCCTCCGGTCAGCGGTGGCCTTGCTGGGCACCTGGGTGTGTGGGCGTAGGTGCTGGACTTGCCAGGGCTGAGGGGGGCTTGGTCGAGTTTGGCACAGGGCCCCCTTCTGGGGCTGAAGTTGGGGTCACTGTATGGATTTGGGGGCTGCCCTGAGGCCCTGGTCCAGGTCCCACCTGCGACTCGCCAGCCCGCCTTCTCTCGAGTCTGGTGTTGTGCGCTGTCCTCTGCCTCGTGCCTCTGCGCCCCCAGCACCCCCGCCCATCTGTCCTCCGGGAGCAGGTGGGCTGGAGCCTGATGGCAGCAGGGCCGCTTCCCTGGGTCTCCAGGGACCCCGCGTGGACGGAGGAGGCTGCTGGCGCCGTGTCCCGCTGGGCTGTCGGGGTGACTTCAGGGCGTGGGGCCTGGGGAGGGCCCTGCAGCCCCCTGGCCCCTCCGGGCCATGATCGTGGGCAGCCTGAGGAGACAACTCTCCTGGCAGCAGCTCTGCTCGTCGCCCCCGCTTCAAGTTGCAGGATCGACTCCCAGCACCTTGGAGGTCCGTCATCTGGTCCTGCCCCCAGCTGGCCCGTCACAGGCCCGGGTCCCTCTGGGTTACCCCCGGCTGGATGTGGGGGTGAGGGGTGCAGTGAGCCTGGGGGGAGTCCCTGCCCGGCACCCCGGGCGGCAGGCCTGCTGCCTCCCACCATCCATAGGGTGGGTGTCCAGGTGGCTCCCTGGGCTCCCAGGGGTCTGTCGTGGATGTCGGGCAGGGGCGGCTCCTTGGGCTACAGGTGGGGCGGCCCTTGGGGAGGGGGAGGCCTCATTCTGTGTGAGGGGACCGGGGTCGGCACAGGGCCGCCGGGGGTGGCGGGGGGGGGGGGG